CAAATCAAATCAAATCAAATCAATTAGGCCACAGGGACCATGAATTGCCTAAATGCCACCGTGTTACAGAAACAAAAACAAAAAATAGCAGCTGGTAAAAAGTTTGAGTGGCTGGTATAAAACCTTTTCTACCAGCCACTGTGGCTGGTGGGGAAAATGTTTAATTTCCACCCCTGGTTGTAATCCTATAAAAGTAATATTTGTTGTCTGTCATTGTAGCTGGGATAATTTTACTTATTAAAGCTCATAATCTTACCACTTGAAACATCACTAGCCCTGAAGCTGCTGGTAGACATCGAGGTTGGAATTATCAAAGGTTTTTGACACCTGAGAGACACCGTAGAAACTCCTTTGTGTTTGGAAGCGGGTGGGGGAGGACCAGGGAGGATGATTCAACCACTCAACCACTAGATGTCGCTGAACACAACAAATCCTACACACTGTGTCTTTAAACTAATGTTATTATGGTTATTTACTTAATATGGGTATGTAAGTTCAGCTTAAAATAGTAATTGCATAAAACTAGAAAGAAATTTCTGTAAACTAATCAACATTAGTAATGTTACATGTGTTTACTACATTATATTGAAGTTCTTAAGTTAACACAACTAAACCTGATTAGTTTCATCATTGTGTAAAAACTAGAATGGTTTAAAGCAACAAATTTCCACATGATTTTCTAGTAAAATCAACTAATTCTGGTTAAGATTGTGGGTTCAAATCCTGTCATATTTAGGTCTTTTGCAGAGAGTAGTGGTGCAGAGGTGAGGCATGCAAATTAACCAGGGCTAAGTGTAAAATCCGTTGTCTTTTTACATTTTATACTGTCCAAACATCAAACTCAACCTGAAAATAAAGCACACAGAAAGGTTTTCTCTTTGCTCTTGCTTCAGATCTCTAATTCTCGGTCCTGATCATTGCGACTTCATCATGGCGGACCTGTTCATGGATCGGGTCCTGGTGAAAAACAACACAGCCCAGGATGAGCTGGACACAGAACGTGAGATTAWTATGCACCTGCAGAACCGAATCCTGATGCTCTTCTTTGCCTCTGCTGAATCTGAGGGATGCCAACAGTTTGCTCCCACTCTCCACAACTTCTTCAAAAAGCTAACAGACGAGTTCTACGTGGAGCGATCTGCTCAGCTGGTTCTTCTCTACATCAGGTGCAATGTTCTGTTGGTTTATAATGGCACTTAAAACACGTGCATTTATATTTTGTGTGTAGTTTCTGGCACCTATTAGTTTGGAGGGACCAAGGCACAGGGAAAATGCTTTAAATGTGGGTCTTTATTTCACCAAGAGAAAAGCAAAAAAAAAAAAAAAAAAGTACACAAAATTCTAACTATAGTTAATGGGCTTATAAAAGGTGAACTTTCCATACTCTCAAAAAGGGACTTAAAGAATATAACTAAGGAACCCAAATACAGCAGGTAAAATAAGTATTGAGCACGTCACCATTTTTCTCAGTAAATATATTACTAGAGGTGCTAATGACATGAAATTTTCACCAGATGT